TTTTTTTTTTTTTTTTTTTTTTTTTTTTTTAAAGAAGTGAATTGCAGCTTGCTCCTCAGAAGACACGATAAAGGTCAGAAAACATCAGAATGATCGTTACAGTACTGAAAACACATGCAACAACTCTCTAGTGCCTTCTCATTGCTCATAGGAGAAACTGTTAGTTCTTCAGCTTTAGCGGCATGTTTCTTAAATTCTAGCCACCGTCTGCTCCTTTATTTTATTTTTAAGTAAACACACTATCTTTTTAAATTTTACATAGCAATCCCAGTTTCTACTCCCTCCCCTCCTTCCATTTCCTCCACCTACTCCCCCATTCCACCCACATCCACTCCCCAGAGAGGGTAAAACATTGATTTGGGGAAGGTTCAAGTCCTCCCTACTATATCCAGGCTGAGCAAGGTATCTATACAAAAAGAATATGTTCACAAAAAGCTAGTACAAGCAGTAAGGATAAATCCTGGTGCCACTGCAAGTGGACCTTCAGTCTGCCCCAGCCATGCAACTGTCACTCACATTCAGAGGGATTGGTTTGGTCCTATGCTGGTTCCTTCCCTGTCTGGCTGGCATTGGTGAGCTCCCATTAGCTCAGGTAAACTGTTTCAGTGGGTGAACCCATCATAGTCTTTATCTCTTTGCTATATTCTTACTCCTCCCATTATTCAACTGGACTTTGGGAGCTCAGTCCAGTGTTTCGCTGTGGATCTCTACCTCTGTTTCCATCAGTTGCTAGATGAAGGTTCTATGGTGACATTAAAGATATTCATCAATCTGACTACAGGGCAAATTCAGTTGGGGCACCTCTCCTCTATTGCTTAGGGTCTCAGCTGGGGTCATCCTTGTGGATTCCTGGGAATTTCTCTAGTGTCAGGTTTCTTGCTAGCCCCATAATGTCTCCCTCAATCAGTATATCTCTTTACTTGTTCTCATATCTGTCCTTCCTCCATCTCGACTATCCGGTACCCTCAACTTCTCCTTCCCCCTCTCCTTTTTCCCTTCTCTTTCCTTTTTACCCTCCCTTCTCCCCCTCCACTCCCATGACCCCAATTTTGCCAGGTCTCCTTTCCATGTGGATCTATGTATGCTTATCTTAGGGTTCACCTTGTTACTTAGCTTCTCTAGGGTCATGGACTACAGGCTTTTTTATCCTTTACAGCCAGTGTCCACTTATGAGTGAGTACCATGTTCATCTTTCCGGGTCTGGGTTACCTCACTCAGAATGATTTTTCTTAGTTCTATCCATTTGCATGCAAATTTCAATATTTCATTTTTTTCCACTGAGCAGTAATTCAGTGTATAAAAGTGCCACATTTTCTTTACCATTGTTCAGTTGAGGGGGCATCTAGGTTGTTTCCAGGTTCTGATTATTACAAATAATGTTCTTATGAACATAGTTGAACAAGTATCCTTATAGCATGATTGAGCATCTTTTGGGTATATGGCCAAGAGTGGTATTACTGGGTCCTGAGACAGGTTGATTCCCAATTTTCTGAGAAACTCCCATACTAATTTCCAAAGTGGTTTACAAGCTTGCATTCCCACCATCCATGGATGGGTGTTCCTCTTACTCCATAGCCTCTACAGCATAAGCTATCATTTGTATTTTTGATCTTAGCCATTCTGAAAGGTGTAAGATGGTATCTCAGAGCTGTTTTGATTTGCATTTCCCTGATGGCTAAGAATGTTGAAAATTTACTTAAGTGTCTTAAGTGAGATTCTTCTATTGAGAATTATCTGTTATTTTCTGTACCACATTTTTAATTGAATTATTTGGAATTTTGATGTTTAATTTTTTGAGTTCTTTATATATTTTGGAGATCACTCCTCTGTCTGATGTGGGGTTGGTGGAGATATTTTCCTACTCAGTAGGCTGCCTTTTTGTCTTATTGACTGTGACCTTGCTGTACAGAAGCTTCTCAGTTTCAGATTCCATTTATTTATTGTTGCTGTGTTTGTGCTACTAGTATTATATTTAAAATTTTCATCTCAGATTAAAATCTTTCATGACCAACTCAATTCTTTGGTTGCTACAGAAGTCCAAAACTAAATCTTACTGCTAAGGATGGGACTTATGTTCTCTGTGAATGAAATGATGTTGCTTCCACCCCAACAAATCCTACCTGGTTTGAGATTTATTCCAGAGACATGGTGCTGCAAAAATCAAAATTATCACACAGAAATTGCATTTATTAAATCACTGCTTAGCCCATTAGCTCTAGTTTCTTATTGGCTAACTCTTACATCTTAATTTATTCCATTTCTATTAATCTGTTAATCTGTATATAAACACAAGTTTGTAGTCTACCAGCAAAGTGTCAGCATGTCTGACTCTGGCCTTGGATCTATGGCGTCTCCTCCTGACTCTGTTTTCTTCCTCCCAGAATTCAGTTCCATCTTCCCCACCTACCTATGTTCTGCCCTATCAACAAGCCAAGGCAGTTTCTTTATTCATATTAAAGCAACACACAGACAGTAAACCTCCCACACCATTTCCCCTTTTCTATTTAAGCAAAAAGGAAGGCTTTAACTTAACATAGTAAAATTACACATAACAGAAGTTATCAAGCAAGAATTACAGTTACAATATTCATATCTACTTTATCTTTTATCACAACTAAGGAAAACTTTAATAATAACTATCTATTCTTCAACTCAAAGACTCGAGAAGTATATAATATTACCTAAGTAAACAGGAAATACATTGTAAGCAACTTCCAAAACTCTAGAAATTACTGCCTGGACAGTCACCCAGAGATCTTCTGTACCATTGGGGCATCCATCTTCAGCCTGCAGGCCCATGCTGTAATTACCTGCCTATTGTGGCATGGTCTCATATACTATGTATGTGGAAACCGAACCGGGCATCTTTCCCTTCTTTCCCTTTGTTCCCTTTGTTCTCCTTCCCCTTTCTCTTTTCCCTCCAGTTGCTCCTTTGGATCATGTGATTCAACCAGTCAAATGGGAGATTCTGATTTGTGAGTTTACCCCTTAATAAATACTATCTATTTCTCAAATCTGAGCTAGTGTGGGATTTCTTTTAAGTGTCCAACCACCATAACAGCTGGCACCAGGGGGGTTTAAACTCCATGGGCCAGACAGGCTTACTTTTGTCTAAGCGTTTTTGTTTGATTTTTTTTTTTTTTGTAAAATCCCTGTCACAGTGGATTTTGCAGTGCTTCAGCAGCAAGCCAAAGCACAAGCAAACCTGCTCTTTACCAACCACTGCAACCCTCCAGGGAAATTCTTTTTCATGTGGCAGCATGTGCAGCTTCTGGGTTTCTGTTCTCTGTGCCTGGACTGTGAGTTTTCTTGCTTTGCATATGGAATTGATTTAATTACATTTAATTTGCTGAGCGATTTACATTTCCCAGTCTTTAACAAGTACCAAGGCGGACACAAACACAGGACCGTTTATGTGACCATTGCATTGGTTCTAGTCACAACTCGGAAACAGTGCCATCTGCTGGATAACAGGTAATATGGCAGATTTCGTTTCCACTGGAACTTTCAGTGTTTTCTTTGCTAATACTATGGATTGTATTATGTGAGGCTTATATGACTATGGAGGTACCACAATTTATTGGTTACTAGGTTTCAGTTTTATTCTCCATATTCTATCATTAAGGAAGAATATGGAACTCTTAGGAATGATACAGTCTTTACAGACTAATAATGAACAGCTAGTTGACAGGATTAATATAATTGAAAATCAGAGGTTATCTGAACAAGTGGATACTATGATAGACAGAAATGACTCCATATATAAGGGTACTTGGAAGTTATCTGAAAGAATTTATACTATTGAATTTGACATTCAAAAGTTATCAAAAAGTTTTGATAAATTAATAGAATGTACTTCCAGGATGTCAATCTACACAAATTAGGAGAGATCGGTTGTGGACTCTTAACGACTTTCAAAGATTGTTAGGAGACTTCCCAGTCTATGTCTGGCTGTTGGAATAACCACTGATCTAATAATTCATTTAAACAAAACCTTAGATGGTGATAAAGACCTGAATAGTTCCAGAGAATTAACAGCTGAAGCAGAAAAGGAACTGATGATTGTTGAGGAGAAATTACAGGAGACACATGTGGATAGGGTAAGTCCAAATATTAATTGTATTCTTGTCATATTGCCTTCCAGAATTTCTCCTAAAGGAGTTTTAATGCATATGGATGATATTATCTTAGAATGGATATTTTCACCACATAAATCAAGTAAAAAATTAAAACTTTTATGGAAAAGTCTATGAATTAATTATAAGAAGTAAATTGAGACTTTGTCAATTAGCAGGTATAGACCCAGCGAAATTATAGTGCCTTTCACTACTGATGAAATAAAAAAGTTATGGGAAGACAATGAACCATGGCAAAGGGCTTGTGCTGATTTTTTTTGGTGGGGGGAGAAATTAATAGCAACTATCCCAAAAGCAGTAGACTTAACCTTATAGAGAGAACTTCTTGGGTACTTCCTCGAAGTGTACGTGATGCTCCAATAATTGGAGCCTGTACATTTTATACTGATGCTAATAAATCAGGGAAGGCTGGTTACAAATCAGATGAATTGAGTAAGGTGGAACAAAGCCCTTATACTTCTGTCCAGAAGACAGAATTATATGCCATTCTTATGATGCTAAGGGATTTTAAAGAACCTCTTAATATCATTATGGATTCACAATATGCAGAAAGAGTTATCTTGCATATTGAAACTGCTGAATTTATACTAGATGATACAGAGTTGACTTCATTGTTTATTCAGGTACAAGACATAATCAGGAATAGGCTTTGTCTGATGTACATAACACACATCCGGTCCCATATGGGTCTGCCAGGTCCTCTAACACAAGGTAATGTAAAAATTGATCAATTATTGATTGGAAGTATGTTTCAAGCCTCAAAATTTCATAAACACATCATATCAATAGCAAAGGTTTAAAGAAAAAGTTTTCCATTACATGGCAATAAGCTAAGGAGTTTATAAAAAGATGTCCTACTTACTCTTTCTATAACCAAACACTGCTACCTGCAGGGACTAACCCAAAGGGTACTCAAAGGAATGAAATCTGGCAGATGGATGTGTTCCACTTTGCAGACTTTGGCAAATTGAAGTATGTTCACCACACCATTGACACTTATTCAGGCTTTCAGCAGGCAACTGCTTTAAGCTCAGAAAAGACTGATTCAATAATCACACATCTATTAGAAGTTATGGCCATCATGTGTATATCTGTATAAAGACAGATAATGGTCCAGCATATGTCTCTATGAAAATGAAATAGTTTTTCCGCTTATTATAATATTAAGCATGTTACACGTACACCACACAATCCTACAGGTCAAGCAGTTATAGAAAGATCGAATCAAACTATATAGCATATGTTAAACAAACCAAAAGTGGTGGAAATGCCCCCAGAAATAGATTACATAATGCTTTATTAACCTTGAATTTTCTTAACACCAATGAGAAAGGAACTATAGCAGCAGAAAGACATTGGATAATGAAAAAGTCTGCTAAATTAAGTCAACCGGTTTATTTCTAGGATGTTCTGACCTCACAATGGAAGCCAGGAGATGTGCTCCATTGGGGAAGGGGTTTTGCTCTTATTTCCACAGGAGAAGAAAAATTATGAATACCATCAAAATTAATAAAAATTCAGTCTAAAACTTAAGCTGCTTGCTCGTGCTCTCTCTCCTTCTGCTCCTGATTTGGACCTTGAGATATCAGTCCGGTGCTCCAATGTGGGTCTCTGTCTCTGTCTCCTTTCATCGCCTGATGAAGGTTAATATCCAGGAGGATGACTATATGTTTTTCTTTGGGTTCACCTTCTTATTTAGCTTCTCTAGGATCACAGATTATAGGCTCATTGCTCTTTATTTATGGCTAGAAACCAAATATGAGTGAGTACATCCCATGTTCCTCTTTTTGGGTCTGGCTTATCTCACTCAGGACAGTGTTTTCTATTTCCGTCCATTTGCATGCAAAATTCAAGAAGTCAGGGTTTATCCCTACTGCATATACTGGCTTTTTGGGAACTTATTCTCTTTGGATGGATACCTTGCTCAGCCCAGATATAGTAGGGAGGGCCTTGGACCTTCCCCAAAGCAATGCGCCTTACCTTCTCTGAAAAGTGAATGAGGTGTTGTGTGTGTGTGTGTGGGGGGTAAGTGGAGGGAATGGGAGGAGGGGAGGGAGTGAGAACTTGGATTGGTATGTATTTTGAAAAAAATGGTTTGTTTTCTTTTTTAAAAAATAAATAAATAAATAAAACTTAAGCTGTACCATTATTATGGTATGTACGGTACTTTCAGCTCACTCTGCACATTCCAGCATGGTAGAGCTGCTTGCTGCCTCTGAGAGACATGGGCTTAGCCCCGTTTTCAGGCACAGAGCCAGTCCATGATACCATTAAGCAAGGTGCAGCAGTCTGCTCAAAAATCCCACTCAAATGCTCTGTAGCTGGACTGCCACGGACCGCCTCTCGTGGAGACCACCGACCGAGGGAAATCAGGAATTGGAGAGGAAATGACAAAAGACACACTCAATGAAGTTGAATATGCTGCTGCAACTTTACTTCGGCTCAGGCAAGGTTTATATAATTTCACAATCAAGGAACTTGGCAGGGGTCTACATCATCAGATCATAAAATAAAAACAAAAAGAACAGCACAATTGCTTATAGATGATCTATTCTAAGTATCAGATTGCGGTCATTGCTCAAAGGCATGATCTAAGAGTTCTGAAATCTGTCTCACACCACCAACCACATCTCGGCACATTTCCTGATTTTTAGACTATGGGCATCTTCTTGACCTCAGGGGCCAGGGTCCCTTTCCCCCGAGAAGTATGCGTCATACAGTTCAGTGGCACTTTGATATTTATTAACTGCAAATGGCTTCCACCAAGTTTTATACCAATACTCTGAAGCTGGCTTCATGTTTTCTAACTGTTCCTTTCTTTCTTCCTGGTTTAGTAAACACCAGGGAGGCCTGCTTAACCCATCTAATCCCAAATTCATCATACTTTCCTGTATAAGGTAGGGGCCCTAGGTAATTCCCTGATTGCTTAGTGCAGACTGCTGGCAGGATGAGAAAAAGACACAGGACAAACAAGGAGGAAAAGACTCCATCGGCGCCAAGGTGGAGATCGGCATTGAGACAATTCTTCTGGTATCATTACTACAGCTCATTGCCTGGGATCTGTGGTATGCCACCAGCTGAAAAATAAATGAAGCTAAACTTTGTTTTCTCGAATTTCTTTTCATGCCCTCTCAGGTTTTACATGGATTGTGTCCACCACGTTGGCACACCAATCCTATAGAAGCCTGTTGGTCCTATTAAAATGCTACCTCAACAGGATCCACGGGGCCTGCAAGGGTCTGTACCAGGTCCTTTCCATATATATTATGGCTTCCAGTTTAGTGTTTTTAATTGGAGTTCTTAGTGGGCAAACAATTGGGTCTCTGTTTCTCGTGCCTTCTTTAGGGTTCTTTTCCTCAGTTTGTTTGTTTGTTTTGACTAACTTCAGTGTGTTAGTTTTTAATTTATTTTATTTTTCTTATTATTACCCAAAATAAGCATGCTTTTTTTTCTAATAAGAGTTGAAAGCCAGGTGGTAGTGGTGCATGCCTTTAATCCCAGCACTCAGGAGGCAGAGGCAGGTGGATCTCTGTGAGTTTGAGGCCAGCCTGGTCTACAAGAACTAGTTCCAGGACAGGAACCAAAGCTACAGAGAACTTCCCCCCAAAAAAAGAGATGGAAATGAAGTGTGTCTGGATGAGTGGAGAAATGGGTGGCAATGTGGAGGACTAGAAGGAGGGGAAAACAAAGTCAGGATATATTATGTGAGAAAAAAATCTATTTTCATATAAAGAAAAGTATACTACCTCACAAAATCCATTCAAAAGGAGATACAAGCCTTTACCATTCAGAAGGTAACAGAATTCTTGATATCAGAGGATATAAATCATGAACTACCATGGAGAATGTACATTTAAATCGCCCTCACCTTTAGACTCTGTCCATGCTCAAAAGGGAACTCAATACCTATTCCTGAGGCAGGAAATGAAACATAATCCCTCAGCAGATGGGTTGTTTATTTCCAACTCTTAAGAAAGAACAAATGGATTGAAGTATATTGGAGTAAACCTTGAACAAACTCTGCCAAATGCCAACCAAAAATTTTTTACTCTCTTGAGGCAATTTCTAAAGATAATTCAACTTTGTCTGAGTGAACACTCCAGAATGGAGAGACTGGAGACTCTCATGTATTAACTTCTTCATTCTCAATTCCCCCAGACCCATCTCAATAAAAGACTATGCTAGCCTTCTCCCTTTAAAAATACCCTGTTTTCTGTGAAAGAGTGCCTGTCCTTCAATGTTTGAAATAAACAACCCATCTGCTGAGGGATTATGTTTCATTTCCTGCCTTTGATCTCTACTCTGTGCTCTGAAATTCAACACTGACATTCATTCATCTTAAACTGGCCACCAACCAGCTGAAATCCCCTAATTTTTAACCACCTCAGCAGGTTACCTTCTTTTGTTTTGGTGTCCCATACAGACATTGTTGGTTGTGTCTAAGTTCCCTGACTTGTAATTATTGTATGTACTATGACCCTAGGAATGGCTTCAGTTCAAATATTAGATTCTTTATCAAGATGTCTAGTGCTTTTCATTCTCCCAGATTTGCAGAATGAGAGAATGGGATTCTCCTATCCAAGATTTTCATGAAAGAGCAACTACCATTTTAAGGCTACTTGCTAAATTTAAGCCCAAAGTACCATGGGCCTCTCCAGTAGTCTATTGTCACACTCAAAGTTTATATGTTCATGGGGCATTTTCCCCTTCACTGCAGGAACCTAGTTACTAGTTATAAACCACTTCCTGCCTTTTCCAGGCCTATTCTGCTTACCCATGGTTTTTAGAGTTCCTGTGCCCACTGTCTTGGCTCTCGATGTCATCTACTCTATCAACCCTTAGAAAGTAATTTCTCTGAGCGCCCATGTTGAGAATCAAGCAGTTCTTAAACTATAGGTCATAACCCTTTGGAGGATCAAACAACACTTTCACTGGGTTGCCTGAGACCATGGGAAAAAACAAATATTTTACATAATGATTCATAACATAGCAAAACTACAGTTATCAACTAACAACAAAAATAATTTTATGGTTGGGGGTCACTACAAAATGAGGTACTTTATCAAAGGGCCACAGCATTAGGAATGTTAATAACAACTGCACTATTCTATTATCTTACTATTGTTATTGCTAACTTATTATCTTAAATTTCATGGTAAACTTAAAGGGTTTCAAACCATCCTCATGATCTTTGATTCCCTTAAAGTCAATGAAATTAAATTAGAAATAATGTATGTTTTTGGGTTTTGTTGTTGCTTATCTTTTGTCTTTAGTTTATCTGATTTTGTTTTGTTTTGTTTTATTTATTTATAGGTTATATACTGCCCCTGTTTCTATACTATCCATGCTATTTGAAGCTTAGAAAGGGGTCAAAAACTAATTTCTCCATTTTCCTTAATCTCCACTTGGAAAACTTTCACTTTGAAGTTTACATGTTATGAGTTACTAATTTGCATGCATGTAAGCTATCTATTTCCTAACCAATTCTGCTTCTTTGGGCCTTAGGTGAAATTCTTGTGTAGAATTTCATGTATGTACCATCACTCTCCCTTCTTTTGTACATCAGCATATCAATATCTAGCCTTTGGTGAAATAGGTATCATTTCTCCCTCTAGTTCATACATTTTTGTATGACTTCTTGTTCAGTGCAATAGAAGATGGTGGATTGTAAATATCTATGGCTAAATCTTTAATTTCAGTGTGGTGAGTGCTGCTGTTATAGAGGACCAGAGTTTAGCTCCCACCACACAAGCCACAAACTCTTGAAAATCTAGTTTTCTTGGAATCCAGTGCCCTTTCTGGCTTCTGTGGACACCCACACAGAATGTGCCCATAAAAACACAGAAGGGATAGATTTTACCTCTCCATACCATAAATTATCCACTATTCAGAAGACTAAATATTATTTGCAAATATGAACTGAAACCCTTACCACAGGCCTCACATACATAGAAAGACCAGCTGGACAGGAACTGTGAGTAAACCATTGCCTTAACAATGGTCACAGGCCCCCTTAGCTCTGTTTCACATTTGTTTTATTTACCAGAACTTCCTCATACATATCAGGAAACAAAAGAGAGTAGTATAATTGGTTCAGGTGAAAATGCCCAGAACTTTTATCTAAGTGATGAAGAGACCTCATAGCATGGGGAATTTGAACAGTCTAGCCTGGGCTACATAGTGGGATCTTGTCTACAAAAATGAAAAAGCTCAATAAAATGTTTCTTGAAATTGTTTAATTTAGAAGGCAAATTCAATGAAATCTAAAAGATTTATGAAAAAAGCCAATTATGAATTATTTTCTCTATTAAATTTGAATCCTTTTACTACTCTTATTTCGAATATGTGGGAAAAATAAAAGAATATTGATGGAGGAAGGACATTGGTTAATTATAATAAAGAACTGCCTTGGCCCATTTTATTGATTAGAACATAGGTGGGTGGAGTAAACAGAAGAGAATGCTGGGAGAAAGAAGCTGAATCAGGAGTCTCCATGGTTCTCCCACTCCAGACAGACGCAGGTTAAGATCCTCCCTGGTAAGCCAGCTCATGGGCTACACAGAATATTAGAAATGGGTTAGAACAATATGTAAGAGCTAACCAATAAGAGGCTGGAACTAGCCGGGCCAGGCAGTGTTTAAAAGAATACAGTTTCCGTGTAATTATTTCGGGTAAAGCTAAGCCATGTGGGCGGCTAGGTGCCGGGAACGCAGCCCCGCCGCTCCTATTTCAACAAAATATATTGTGAATATGTCAGGATCATAGAAGTTAAAGTTGCCTATCCTCAAAAACAGAAATAGAGTCTATCAATATTGAGTAGAGAACTCTACCACAGGTTGCTTATATACATAGATCTCTACATCCATGATAGAACTGAATTTAAACTTTTAGTCTTATTGTTTAATATAATTTTCTAAATGAACTTGCCATTGTGAATTTATATTTAAGTGACACTGTATCATACTGGACTTAAAGATCTGTGCAACCATGCAGAGACAGTTATTTTCTACTTTTCTTTTCATCTACATTACAGTCTCTGGAAACAAAATCCATGCAATTCTTAACAATAAAAACATCACAAAAGAAACATCAATTCCCAATATCATCTTACCCAGTTCTGGGCTACAAAGCTTGCCAATTGATTTCATAAGTATGAGTATATGAGAAATAGGATATCAAGAGGGAAAACTAAATAAGAAATCCAAGGAGAAAAATAGTAAGAAAGAATCATTTCTAATATGTCCCACAACCTAAAAGCAAAAGATTTTATGGTGAAGGGGATGAGCACCAGGGATCAGTAGGAGGTGAAAAGGGCTACTTGCTACACTGAGAATACTACGTAGCTCTCAAAAGAAGACTAAGTGAAGAACTGGCCACCAACTGTGGCTCCAGAGGTGGAAGCAGGTATATGTTCTGGGTATTTTATTCTCACTAAATCTTGTGTCAGGAGTTTCCAGGGTTCTACCTATAGACATTTATAGAAGTCTTATTTACTAGAATAGATTTGCTTCTTCTTTAGAATTTCCAGATATCTTCTTCACTCGCAGAGTTGTGCTTAATAAAGATGATATGGAGGAACCTCATTAGAAAACCGGTTTGGGGTAAGCCCTTGCCAGCAAGAATTCTCCCATCATTTGGAGTTTCAGTTTGCCAATGAGGTTGTATAAGGGTTCACTGAAGTTGACTTCTCTCTCAGTTCTACTGCAGAAATATCACATATCTTCTTAAAGGCTTTCCTGAAGATCTCAGAAAAGTAACTCGTATCTCTTGGAGACAATCTTCAACACCTCTTCCTTGGTACCGAGCTGCTTCATAGTGTAGTTGTGCATGAGAAGCAGCAATATCTCGGGAGGCATTTGTGATAGAACTTTGTGATGTAGATAATAAGTGGTAGTTAAGGTATATCATAAAGGTTTTTCCCTCTGTTACTTTCATTTAGTGCTATAACTACAAGGCCCCCCAAAAGAAGTGACTACAGTATTTGTAGATGATGGAGCTTTCTTTGGTTTTGTGGGAATGCTATATATCTATTATTATTCAGGCTCTGGGTGGAAGCAGAAATGTCCTCTTCTGCCCCTTTT